GGGCCGGGGAGGCTCAGGCCCTGCCCGGCCGCCTGGGCCCCTCCCGGCCGCCTGGGCCGCTCGTGGCCGTCCCCCCCCAGCCGTCCCGGCGCCCAGGCTCACGCGGGCAGCTCCGGACGCAGATGCCCCCGTACTGGTACTTGGTGTCGGGGTTGGGCTCCAGCTGGAACGTGAGCTTGTTGTAGACGAGCGGCTGGGGGCAGAGCGGGACGCAGGCGCCGCTGTCGTTGAAGTGGCGACAGGCCTGCGGGCAGGAGCGTCACCGCGCGCCGGGACACGTGCACGTCCGTGCACGGGCCGGTGCACGCTGGGATGCACGGAGGGATGCACAGACGGATGCAGGGACAGGTAGATGTGTGGATACACGGACGGATGCATTCAGGGATGCACGGAGGGATGCACAGGCTGGCAGATGCACACATGGATGGATGCACAAAAGGATGGATGGATGCATGGACAGGCAGATGCACGGAGGGATGCATGACAGGCGGACACACAGATGGGTGCGTGGACAGATGCACGGGTGGATGCATGGACAGGTGGATACATGGGCAGATGCACAGATGGATGCTCAGACAGGTGGAAGGATGTGTGGATGGACAGATGCACCCATGGATGCATGGACAAAGGAATGAACAAATGGATGCATGGACAGGCAGATGCATGGACGGATACATTGAGTGATGCATGGACAGATGCACAGAGGGATGCGCGGACAGGGGAGTGCACAGACAGATGCACGGATAGGCATATGCATGGAGGGATGCATGGAGGGGTAAAAGCATGGAGGGATGTACAGAAGGGTGGATGCATGGAGGGATGCACAGAGGGGTGGATGCGTGGAGGGATGGGTGCATGGAGGGATGCACAGAGGGATGGATGCACAGAGGGATGCACAGACAGGTAGATGCATGGAGAGAGGGATGCATGGACAGGTGGATTCACAGACCCGTCCCTTGCCCCTCGCGGCAGCACCACCCAGGCGAGCCCCTTCCCATGTAGGGACCCCCGGACACCCCAGCGCCCCCCCAACAGACGGGGGGCCGGCCGGAGCGGTGGGGGGCACGTACGAAGCAGTGGGTCTGGCGGGGGCCGGTGCAGCCCCCCGCGCACTCCTCGTGGCAGCACTCGTTGGGCGCCCGCCCGAAGCAGCGCCCATTGCACTGGGGGGCGCAGATGGTCTTGGTCACTGCGGGGGGGAGGTAGCAGGTCAGAGGGTGTCACTGCCCCCCTGCACCTCCCCAATCCCCAGTACCCCAGTCCCCGGTACCCCCATCTCTGGTACCCCCGTTCCCCAGTACCCCCGTCCCCGGCACCCCCATCTCCGGTACCCCCATCTCCGGTACCCACGTTTCTGGCAGTCCTCGGGGCCGGGACCCCAGCA